CCCCCCCCCCCCCCCCATGTGTGGCATCATGCAACCGTCGCAAATATGCTAATCTTAACCTCGTCGGTCTGTCTGTAAGCCATGCTACTGCGTCATGCTATTGCGTCGAAGGCGTCTGCCCATGTCCCAACGCACGTTGGTGTTACTTTAGAGCAGCGCCATCACCAGCAACCGAGGGTTCACCCTACGTCTGATCGATGATGAGATAAACGGCGATGATGATTTGATTAAAGAATGGCAGCACAGAATGCCGCCACAGGTAGACAAGTTTAAGTTTTTCTCTAGCCGTCACTTAAGCGCAACACTCTTTCACGATTACATGTACATCTATTCATGACGATAACTTGGCACACGTCTCTTTATCAGGGATTGGTAGATTTCGTAGATTCCGTAGACCATTGGCTCTTGGATCCTGCCCCGAAACGACGAAGTGTCGCGAAATGTGACGATACAGCAGTTTTGTCCTACTGCCAACAACCAAGACCGACCTCCTTCCCACCAACAAAAGGAGAAGCAAAAGCTTGTGCATGCGTATGTACTGGTAAAGCTGCTGCAGTCATTTCGTAGTCGATTCGAGCGAGGCATACGCATATTGTTTCATTGAGAAGCTGGCCAATGGCAGAGCGCGAACCCATGTCGAGACGAAGGCAAATCTATCAGAAATATCCCGTAAGAAGCCAGCGCTCGCGTCTGTTCCACTGTGTCGGAAAATTGGACAGCACCAGGGACAGCGAGAAAGGGGGGGGGGGAGCGGGGGCATTAGAGTGTGGATTCGTCTCCAGAGAGACCGGGCGATGAGCTTGCTTGGTTCCTATCCCGGTAGTCGTTCAGTATCGCCTCCCAGCTTGTGGTTCGTCAAAGACATGATATCTTTAATGGTGTACGTTCCCTAGCCCCCTTGCCCCTGGTCTTCCGGATCAATCCCCCAACAAGTGTGCCCCTCGTATATCCCAACTGATGGTCCCCCTTACTCTTTTCCTTCAGATATGCTTTATTCTTCTGTCCCGACATGTTGAAAATCTTCATCGTCGGTGTTGACCCGTTCGTGTTGTTTGTTGTCCCGCCTGCGTTGCATGATTGATACTGTACCGACAGGAGGGATACAGCATCTTGCACCTTGCGGCCATGAGGGACCAACAAGCCATGGGTGAGGGGATCGATAAGGTCGATCCAGGGTCGGGCAGGGGTAACGACAAGGGGTACAAGGGGTAGAGGCCACTACAAGAGGGAGAGCGAGAGAGAGCTACAAGCAGAAGAATGTCTATATTAGCCATGCCATCTGTCCATTGGCGTGTGCTGCAGTTGTCGTGCCTGGGGCCCTAACGCCCCCACAGCAGCAGTAGTAGCAATCGCCCCAAGCTACAACCGCTTGGACTGCTGTTGTGTGGCGTTGAAGGGCCGCCGTAGCATTGGCTACGACCTGTCCTGTTTTTGTACGACATTTTGTCTACTGATGCGCGTACACAAGCGCAGCAATTCAAGCACGTACCACCTTTTTGCCACCAAGGTGGTAACGCTGCTTTGCGAAGCTTAACCGTTTCACGCTCTGGATATCGTTGCTGCTGCCGCAAAACGACAACTTTTTAGAGTTGTGAATCGGAACGATGTACACGATATATATCGTCCGATATATATCGATATCGGTATCGAAAATTCGTGCCGATGTTCCGACCGATGTTTTCTTAGGGGCTCCGTGAATCAAATTTAGGGTATGCGCAGCAGTACGGAGCCCCTGTACGCCACACACACACAGCACAGCAGCGCAGAAACAGCAGACAACAGCACCATGTCCAGAACCAACCGGGAAGTAGACACAGGGAGAGACCGAAGGAGGGTACTGCTGAGGATACGCGACAATACATCAATCTTAATCTTTTTTTTTTTTTTCTACATTCCGTGCGATGTTTGCAGCTGAAGTCAAGCCCTTTTTGATGCCGCATTTGGGCCCATTTTGACGGGAAATGAAAGGAAAATGCACCAAATTTTCTGCCTCCGGCGGCGCCTCCGGCGAGGCCCCCTCACCAGCCGGGGGGGGCCGATGGGGGGGCTCGCTTCGCTCGCCCCCATCACGGCTCGCTGCGCTCGCCCGATATTTTCTCCGATATATCGCCTACGGCGATATATCGGAGAAAATATCGTTATATCGGCTGCTGCGCAGCCGATGTAAAATATATCGTTTTTTCGTACCGATTCACAACTCTACAACTTTTTCTAGTGGAGTTGCTCCTGAAGGAGGGAGCGGACCCGGACGTTCATGACAACGGGGAGGGGCTAACTCCCCTCATGTGGGCAGCACAGCTGGGGTGAGAAATACTTCATGCTTCCGTTGAACGGGTAGTAAAATATGCCACACCAGGCAGGAGCAGCGGCGGTAGCAGCAGCGAAGAACATGGGGTGGTCGCAGTTCTAGACGCCTAATGTGCCTGGAATAGCGCCTGCAGTCGCTATTATAATTGTCGGTCGCCGTCGTTCGCGAGTATACATCATTTCCTCCCTTGGGGTTGTACTGCTATTCTGCATGCCTTTGTTGTTTGACCATTGAGGACGACGCGTCCTCTCTTGAGAGCCTCTCGAGAGAGACCGGACGCATTGTTCCCACAGGACTGATGGCCGGTTCCTCCCTTGGGGGAAGCAGCTGCTTGCGTTGCGTTAGGCTTGCTCCAAAGGTGGCGCTACACGATGGTACAAACCCGCTACAGCGTAGTACGTGTATCAGGGTGGCTGACCTGCAGCTTTTGTTTTTGCACCGCCCGGCGGTGCGCAATCTGGTTTGGCACGGCTTGTTTTATCTGCTTCGGGGGGCTTGGCGTTCTGTCGGCAGGGGGCAGCTACTGCTGTACCCTGTTGCTCACGGGGGTTGCTTTTGTCTACTATTACCACAAAGTTTGTATCTCTTCGTGCTCGTGGATGACGAAATCTTACGCACGTGCGTACAACGACAACGACAACAACGCAGGCACGCAGAGGTGGCAAACTCTCTGATCGAGGGCGGCGCCGACATGGAGCAAGAGGATAGGGAAGACCTCACGGCGTTGCACTGGGCCGCCCGCATGGGGCAGGAGCGCGCCTTGCTCGTGCTCCTGGATCACGCCGCAGATGTCGAGGTCAGCCGGCGTGTTTGGTGCATGGAGTGGGGACGGGGGGGTTGGCCTTGCTGCGTGTGCTGTTCGAGCATCGACGACGCACGCAACCATCGCGTTTCGAGCGAGTCACTGGACAGTCAGTCCGCCGTTTCTATCTATCCGTTTCGCACCAAGGTTTGGGGCCTTTCTATCTACCGTACCATATGGGACGCGTTTCACTCGTGCAGTGATGTCGTACGTACGGAGAAGGGCGGGCATATCAGCCTTTCGTAGATGCAACTACGTTGTGTGTGTATTTGTTCATCTCGCAACAATCTGGTACCGAATCTTGGTGGCGTTCCTGTTGTTGGTCCGTCTTTTTTTTTTTTTTTTGTCGTTCTGGTAATAAAAAACAATAATGAAGACCGTGGACTACGACGGAAACACGCCCCTCATCTGGGCCACCCGCGGGGGGCACCGTGACTGCGTTGGCCACCTCCTCGACCACGGGGCAACAACCACCACCCCCGATGAGAACGGCAACACCGCGCTGCACTTCTCGTGCCAGGTAAATAACTGCTCTATGCAAAGCATGCTAGATTTGTGCTTGACGAAGGCAGTGGGTACCACTGTACAATGCTAGATATGTTCTCGACGAAGGCAGGGTGTTTGCACCAATGTCCAATGTACTGCTGACTGCTGTAGCATGCTAGGTTTGTTGTTGACGAAGGCAGTGTGTGTGTACCAATGTCCAATGTACGAGTACAGGCAGTAAGGAGCAGCTGACTCCTGCACAAAGAGAAAGGTGCTTGCTCAATTGCAGATGGTAAGGCTCGAGGTGCGGAATCGTCATTCTATCGCGGTCCAAAATCCTGAATGCGCACCTTCCTAGAACCCCCCCCCCGCTGCCCCCCCTGTCTCATGGTCAACTGTCGAGTGACGTAAAAGGCAACCAACAAAATAACAACAGAGTATATACCCCGCCTTTTCGTGCCATTCCTACGGGTGGTATCGTGATGATGCTGCTGCTGCTTCCATTGCTTGATGCAGACGGGCAACGCGGGAATCACCTCCGATCTGCTAGACTGGGGAGCGCTGGCCACCGCGCAAGACTATTGGGAGGTTCGACCCCGCACGAACACGATGTTATTCAAGCCACATATGTTTCCTTTTTCTGTTTAAAGTACAGGGAGCATGAAATGTTTCTGACATGTGCTCGGTTGCTAGGACGGGGGTGTGAGCCGGCCCCCAACCCGCCCCACCCGCCCCGATGCAAACCTGAGTGTGCTTGAGCGGGACGGGGATGCGTCTCGCCCTTGTCGCGTGTCAGCGTGACACCCCCAATTCGGCAATCCCCTGCATCGCTTCGTCAGAGAGAGCGAAGTCACTGTTTTGTCCTGCACCCCCTATCTCGCTGTATGAATGTGTGTGTGTGTGTGTGTGTGTGTTCCTCATGTCGACGAAACAGAGTTTTGAGAGTTACCTGTCGGTTCCATCCAGCAGCAGGATGCCGTCCAAGTCTGGCGCTCTACCGTCCTTTCATGTGTGTGATGAACCTGCGTGCGAATCATGTCCCCCTACCAACCGAACAGTTTACTCCGGTCCACCGGGCGTGCTCTCAAGGCCACGGCAACGTGCTCAAGGAGCTCCTGCGGCAGCGCTCCGGCCGGGCAAGGGCGCGCGGTGGCGGCGCCGGCGGAGGGGGCGCCGACGACGGGTCTGGGGGAGATTTCTGGGAGGGGGGCCTGGCCAGGGCATGGGGCGGCGGTGGCGGCGGCGGCGGCGGCGGCGGCGGCGGCAATGTGGGAGAGAGGAGGGGCACGGGAGGAGGGCGAGGGAAAGGGGGGGGAGGGGGAGGGGGGAGGCGCGGCGGCAGCAGAAGCGTGGCGGCCCCTCTGCCCTCCGAGGTGGTGGACATCCGGAACCACTTCCACGCGACCCCGCTGCACAGGGCCGCGGCGAAGGGGCATGCAGAGGTATGTTTGTACGCAAGCGTCCTCGAGAAGACGGAGCATTTGAACGGGGGCTGGCGGGGTGGGATGTGTAAGTGCGGCCAGCACGCCCAAAATATGTACAAGACCTTCTCCCCCCCCCCCCNCTCGTTGACGCCCAGCGTTGCTTGTGTGTGTCCCGGACCGACCGCGTTTCGAGTAACCTAGTTCCCGTGCCGGCCGCACCGCCAGCGGGACAGGAGTAGATTCACTGCCTTTGGTGCTGCTTCGGAGACGTGCTCGATCCGCCGCGGTTCTCAAATCAGCAGCAGCCCACACATTGCGTAGTAGGTGACGTAAGGTATCCCACCCCCCTAGAACTTTTCTTTTCGGTCCAGGGTTTGTGATATACTACATCTCATGTCACCTACGGCAGTCTGCGCGATGTTCCATTCGCCCGTGGGCAAAGTGGCCGGAGCGGGGCATCGGAACCCCGAACTTTTTTGTGTTGCTGGCGATCGATGATTTGACCGTCGCCTAGCCTCGCAGGCTGCCGAAGAAGTGTGGAGTCTGGCTGCGAAGATGTTACGGGAAGTAACAACGGCAGTTTGCTAGCCGGAAAGTGCTGCTTTGTGTGGTAGCGCGGGTGTTTGTTTTTGTCGCAGGGCTGCTATAGTAGAGAACGATAAAAACATGCAACGGACGGCCATGAGGGGGGTGTCCACATCGGCGTTGTGCACCGTAGATGACATGGCGTAAGATATCACCCCCCATGGACCGATTTCCGAAGCTCGATTAGTTCACGACGAAGAGGATGCATACATGAAAACGATACGTACGTCGTCGGAAAGCTCTCGAACGAGACAGCTTCAATCGCCGCCGTTTTCGGCACTGCCACTGTTTCTGCTGTGGAGGAATCATCCGAGTGTTGAAATATCGGTCCAAGGGTGTGTGATCTCTCGTATGTCACCCCATGTACCACGGCACGTGCATCCATCTTTCTTTCGTTCGCATCGGAGTGCTCAATAAAAACGGCCAGCCGTCGTCTTTGCCTGCTGTACGTCCTACTCCGCAGCGCTTGCTCGGGTATCCTCACCCACGAACCGAAATGTTGACCGTTTTGACCGTTGTACACATCTTCGTACCGTTGTACACGTGCTGCGGCCGCCCCTACAATAACCGACGAGAAGACCCAGACACACACAAAGCCTACCAAGGCTGCTACTTGGAGGCACCCATGCTCGTTTCGGCGCCCACCTCGACGTATTTGGTGCTCGTGAGAAAAAAACTTTCGTTCCTTGTGAGAAACCAATATGTACCTCGACAGCAGCAGTTCTCCCGTTTCTTTTGAGTTGCTCTCTTGTGTGTGTCTTCCGCGTTTTGTTTGGCGCTGGGTCACCAACAAAGATTTGGTGCTTGTTGTGCTTGCTTCCTTGTGGGAGCCCACTACCCCGACAACATTTCTCCCTTACTTATGGGCAGGTTCTCCTTCTTCCTCTCGTTTTTGTTGTGCGCTGGGTCAAAGATTACCTTCCGCCTTCCGCACAACAAACGCCGGAGGCAAAAGAAAAAGCTGCCCGAAAGTAAGGGAGAGTTGTTGTCCGGGTAGCGAGGAAGAAAGTGGAACAAGCACCAGTAGGACGCCGAAGTGAACACGAGTAGAGAGTAGCAGTTTTGATAAGACACTTGCAGTTTTCGTCTGTTGCTTCCGTCCTTCAATCCGGAGAGCACCTTCGCCCTCCCCTTGACGTCCCCTCACGAGATCCCAGATCATGGCCTTCGGAAGCATTTTCTGTTTTTTAAGCCAGCCGCACTGAGAGAGTGACGTCTTTTTCATTGGTCAGCCGGGAGAAGCGCCGTCGGCGATAACAAATAAACACACACATGTGCCCGCACACCTACTACACACCCAGGTGGTGACAATGCTGGTGCAGAACGGCGCCAGCGTCGACTCGAGGGACGGTTTTTTCTACACCCCGCTCCACCTCGCCTGCATCAACGGCGCAGAGGCTAGCGTGGAAGCCCTCCTCCGCGCCGGCGCCGACCCGGCCATCAAGGCGCAGCAGGGCGTAACGCCGCTCATCGCCGCCAGGAAACCCGAGGTGCGTGAGCTCCTGAAGAAGGCGCTGGAGAAGCGGAAAAAATCGCTCTGGGAGGTGGACTTGTCTAGCGGCGGCGGGGGCGGGGGCGGCGGGGGGG